CTTTCTAAGCTGTTTCGGGTAGAAAGGGGCAAGTTGGGAAGAGGAGATGTTTCCAGATGAAGGTCACAGCAGGGGCAAAGGCACGAAGATGTTCATGGAGACTGTTTTCCTTTGCACTTTCCCAAAGGGGCTATAAACTTCCAAAAAGCAGGAGCTGCTTCAAATGTCTCTTGTGCAAGTTCCCTCCACCTGTTCCTAGGACAGGTGGGGGCTGCTAGGAGGCTTTTGTGAACTAATGTCAATCATTTTCTAGATCTCTCATCACTTAAAAAAGAAGACAATTGTCTTTTAAACTGTGCTCTCAAATATGCCAGGCAGAGCGGAGAGTAAAGCTGAAGCTAGTTCCAGGTACTCTTTAGTTAACAGTAATTCCCAATATAAAGAACATATATGGTCCTTTATTTGCAAAGCAAAGTTCTGGCCCCATCTCGGCCTCCTCACATCCCTGTAAAGCATCCGGGGAAAGCATCATTTTTCTATTGCAAAACTGGGGAAAGGGAAGCACAGAACATTAACGCCCAAGGAAGCCCAGAGCCAGCTAGATCCTGGGTCCCTTGATGGGACACCCTTTGTCCAACCCCACCACCTCCTTTCCAAGCACGGCCCTCTGCCTGTCCCAAGCATGCCAAATCCATCCCTGTGATCACCTAACTGCAGCACGTAGGGGGAGAAAGTGCCGGCCCAAGATGGGCCTCTTCCACGGTTGACCCTGGGGCTTCCGGACCACCTTAATGACAACGGCGCATAATGAGACCACGTGGGCTCCTTCCAACCTGCCACCTGCACCTGCTGGGTTCCCAAGGTTATTACAGTTTTCACTTTCTTCCACTGGATTTTAGCAGTCGTTGTCACATTGTCGGTAGCAGACAAGTCCCGATGGGCTAATAAATGTCATTGCTGGAGGGCCTTGATGTGCTCTGCTGAAACAATCCCCAAACAAGCCAGAATTTGTCAACTAGCTCAGAGGCTGATTTATAGTCACTGGAGAAATTGCTCATCTGGACAAAAACAACCCAAGTTCACTCTTTCTGTATTTTGTTTCTTTTCTACACATTAAAATATTAGTTTCTTCAACCATCTGACACGACGTTACCCACTGTGGACACCGCCACAGCACTGAAGAACTGGAGGATCCTGTAACTGCCTGAGGGGACGTGAAATGAGACTGTCAGGTGCTGCGTAGCCATCTCTGACCACCCACATCACCTGGCTTCTTTTCACAAGCTCTGAGGGCAGCCCCCAGCCTCCCACAAGCGTGGCCGGGGCATCTCCCAGAGGTCAAAATGACATGAGGCAAAGAAATGACCCGCCCACACCCAGAGTGGTGGCTTGGCACCGAGTGAAAAGGCCTTTGAGAACAAAGGAGTTCTGTGCACCTGGTTCAGCCCACAGGTGAGTGGAAAGGAGAGTCAGGTGGCCTGAGGGGACAGCAGTCTGTGTTTTGTTTTGTTTTGTTTTTTACTTTGCCCGAGCCCAGGGCGGAGGGAAGGCTACAGCTCTGTGTGATCCCTTCTCTCCTGTAAAGGGAAGATCAGTTAGCTCACCGGCCTAGGTCAGGCCCCGGGGACCCAGCTTTTCCTGCCCTTCTGCTCCTCACCCTCTTGCCTGGTTTCCTCCTTCCGCTGACAGGGAATGGCCGCACTTCAGCACACGGCCCCTGAGGCACTCCCTTCGGCCCCACGGAATCACCTTCCTGGCTCCCTGCCTCTCCTGTTCTCAGTCCTGGGGCAGAGGCTACTTCATGCCCCCTAAGTCCTGGGCCCAACTTGGGCCTAAAGGGGAGCTGAAGGGGCACCACGCTGGCAGCTCACTCCCAAGGCAGCCCTGGGCTTGTTCCCTTCCAGCTGCATCCCAATCCCAGGACTGGCTCTCTCCTTGTCCTCTCCTGGTGCTTGCCTGTGACCCCTGTCGAATCCCCTCTGGCTTCTTTCTGCATTTTCTGATCTGGCAATTTCTAGCCCATCCTCTGAGAAGCCCTCCCTGACTCCCAAAGTGGGTTAGAGCCCTGTTCCGCTGCTCTTGGAGCTTCCCCAAATTTTTCCTAGTGTGACATTCATCGATTTTCACCATGAGCGCATGTCTAATTGTCACTGTGTCCTACTCAACTCTAAGTGCTGTGAGGAGAGACCACCATTCCTCCCTAGGGCCTTGTCCAGGGCCTCAGCCCCGAGACGCTCCCCTAACCCTTACGAATTAAAGCAAGAACAAATGAACGTGCCCCACCCCAAAGCACTGTGGGATAACATGGGGACAATTTCCTTCAGCCATGCTCACAGCCGACTGTGAACGGCTGGGGTGGGCAGCTGTGCCCTAGAGGCTGGAGGAGGAACAAAGTTCCTTCCCTGGTCATGAGCCATATTTCCCACGACCTCACCCTTTCTCTGGTGATTCTTTAGGGCAGGGGTTCACGTACTACAGTCCAACACCCAGTGTGCCACCCCCTGTCACCCCCTGCCACCCTTCCCTCCCAGCCCAAATTGGCTTTGACCTCTGGCCCTGCCATGTTGTCCTGTAACCACAGACCCCAAACACACCATTATGGGCACAGGCCACATCTGCCAGCCAGCTGCTGTGGTCACAATACTGCTTTGACTTGACAGAAAACTGAGGAGGCCCATTCTGTGTCCCAGCAGCCATGGGAAATGTGCGATGGTGGAGAGAGCACGGGTCCCTTCCTAGGGCTCAGGAGCCAGAGAGAGCCTCCCACTTCCTAGCTGCGTGACCTTCCTCAATTCCCTTACCCATAACTGGAGCAGAACAGCGCGTACGACAAAGGGGGACTGCACTGCTTAACACAGAGGACAAAAGAAAGGTCTTAATCCCGAGCCAGGAATTTGGGCCCTTTCCAACAAATGCTTGTTTTCTGCACGTACCAAGGCCACTGCCCGCCTTTCTGACCAGGACTGAGATGACCTCATGTGGGCAAACTGGAATTGTTCAGTGTTGCCCTCAGCTGAGACTTCCAATTGCCCCACAACATTTGTTCTTCCCTCTTCCTTGGCAAGAGAACTTCTAATTTTTGCACTGCGCATGGCTGCCCCCAATGACACCACATCTCCCGTCCCTCCCCTGCAGGTAGGTGTTGCCCGGTAACTAGGATGTGGTCAAGGGGGTGGAAGTGAGGGCCTGACTTCGGGAATTGGGGGGCGGGGGCAGAGGGCATGTTCGCCTTCCTCTCCGCCACCTTCCTAAGGGCTGGAATGACATGGTTGGAGCCTGAGTGTCTGCTTCAGCTACTAGATGGAAGCCATTGGTAGAGGATGTCAGCCACAAGGTGCTGAAATGAAATGGAAGAAGGATAGTGCCCAGGTCCTTGACCTCTACAGGACCATGCGAGCACGGTGCCTCCTCCTTGCGAACTTCATTTATGTGAGAGAGAAATTACCTTATGTCTTATTTAATTCACTGCTTTTTTTAGTTTTTTGTTACTCCCAAACTCATCCTGATTGATTACAGTCATGTATCTGGTTAACCAAGGATTCTTCATGGATAATTATTGTGAGTTCACTGCAGGTCTTCAGAAAGCTTCTAGAGAGCAACAGAAGAGATTGCTCCTAAGCGCGTCTGAGGCTGGAAGTGTGGGCTGTGTCTCCCAGGGAGCCTGCTGACAATCTCGAAGCCATCTCCAATGAGCCTTCTACTCCAGAGGACAGAGAGGAGACCCCAATTTCCTAAGAATCTACGACACAGCAGTTCTTACATATTTGACCAGAGCTGACAGGGGACCAAATAAACTTGATAAAACGGTAAGGAGTTACATTAGCCTTATTGATTTGACATCTGCTGTGGCTCTTATCTGTCTGGTGACAGTCCCAGAAAGCAACTTACTCTTTCGTACTCCCATCGTAGTGTGGATGTGGGCCTTATCCAAATCAAACACGGGAGTCAGAGACGATCCAGAACAGGGCCGCTCGACATGTGCCTGCGAGCCTAGCTGCGTGTCCTCACAGTTTGTTACTAGCCCACAGTGAGATGCGGAGCTTGAGCCAGAACACAGACCTACTGCTTGACTAAGCCCATCGTTTCCTTCTGGTGACTTCTTTTCCCCCACAGCAAGACTTTCTCCATGAGGGAGTGATATATATTCTGACAAAGCTCCTTACCTCATTTCAGACAGTACTTTACATAGCATTTCTTTGCTCTGTTATGGGGCTTCAAAAATATATAGTTTGCCCTACCTCAAACCAAATGAATCAGCATCTCTGAGGACAGGGCCCAGGCAACTGCATTTTAATAAAGCACCTTAGCTGACTCTGAGGAATGCCCGTGGTGGAAAACCATCGTACAGATATAACAGGAAGGTGGAGGATTCAGTATTGTCTTCTCAGGACCTAAGCAATGTGAACGTCCATCTGCACTTGTTTTAAACTTACGCTGGCTCTGCTGAGCATGCCAGACTCTTAACAGGGCCTTTCCTGGGCCCTTCTTGATTGCCCGAATTGAGAGGAGTTGGCAGATTATCTTGGACAAAATTTAAATCCAGAGACATTTGATAGTATTGTTTCCATAAACTTTTTTTTTTACTGTTTATTTTTTTGAGAGAGAAAAGTGTAAGCTGGGGAGAGGCAGAGACAGAGAGAGGGACAGAGGGTCCAAAGCGGGCTCTGCATGGACAGGCTGACAGTAGTGAGCCCGATGGGGGACTCGAACCAACAGACCGAGAGATCATGACCTGAGCTAAAATCGGATGCTCAACCGACCGAGCCACCCGGGTGCCCTGCTAATACTCTTTCTAGAGGCTTTTGTTCATGTAAGCTCTTTTAGTCCTTACTGAATTTGCTCTCTTGAGAAACACACTCAGCTTCTTTAAAGCCAGTATAAAAAAGGAAAAGGATTTTCTGCCCCCCCCCCCCCACGACAGAGCCCCTGGCACCATCACTGCTGTCATCAGACACCTCCAGTTCCACCGGAGGCTTGGTCCCTACAAAACAGGTCAATGGTTCCAAAATGGCAGGGTCTTCCATGTACAACTCAAAGGCGATGGAACCCTCTACCCTTACCTGCAGTTCCCAGGCTCAGGAGCACGGCCACCCAGAGGACCCAGAAGAAAATGAGGATGGCAAAAGTCCATAGTGGTTGGAACAGCAGGAATGGAGAGTTGCTGATGGCTTTATTTATGACTTGGAAAAGTTCGACTGTCAATTTTATTCTCTTTCTGAAGACAAAAATCAAGCTGAGCAGAACTGCCTGGAGAAAAAGGGGTTAGAGCAAATTACTCAAAATAATAAGAGAAAGGCTTAAAGCAAACCTTAATATTTTACTGACGTGTCAGCCAACAGCTCCTTTAAGATAGCTACTCATACTTTTATTATAATTAAACAGAAAAATATTCACATCCTAAGTGGGCATCTATTATGTGTTGGCCCCTGTGCTAGATCCTGCAGCTGTAACCATGAACGAGGCACAGTCCCTGTCAGAGAACAAGAGAAAATGCAAAGAAAGTCCTCTAGGGTCAGAGAACTGTCTTCTATCTCTCACCTCCTCCCCACAATACGCAAGATACTCAGAGAATGCTCGAAGACTGCAAAAGGCAAGGGATGTAAGTATGAGGGAAAGGACAGTGGTTATGTCTCAAAGCAACCTTCTGTGCCTTCTTCTTTGCTGGTTTTGGCCTCCCTCCATATAAATTTCTTACTAAAGAAAGAAATCACCCTTCATCCCCACATCCCAGCCCAGTCATTGCCATCTCCTCTTGCTCTTCACACACAAGCATCGGCACTGACTAGTCTCCACCTGCCACCCATACTCCCGCAACCTAACCTAGAGCACGGCATGTGAATCTCTGCCCATTCCTCTTTTCTTAAAACGGTCTCCTCTCTTGACCTCTGTGATTGTTCTTTCTTCTGGCTCTCCTCCTACCTCTTGTTGTTTCTACAGTCTTTGGACTCCTTTTCCTTTGTGGTCTTAGCGTCCTTCCTGGAGGCTGATAACCTTCAAAGAAGAACCTCCAGCCTCACCTCTCTCTAGGTGCTAGATGAGTAAGCACATCAGTTACCAGCCAGGCCGTGGACGTCATACAGTGTCTCAAATTCATCCCATCCTGAACCAAGTTCATTATCTTCATAGAAGAATCTTCTCCTTCTTCCATATTTCCTATTCCAGTGGCCCTAATTTTTCTGGCCTCTCCAAGAGTAAGGATGGTTCCCCTCTTGTGTGCTTCCATATTATCCCAAACTTAGGAATTGTAGCACTCAGAATTTATACGGCAAATGTTTACTCATCTGACTTTCTCATTAGATTAAGCTCGCTGAGAGCAGAGCCGTCCCTTACTGTCAAGAACTGGCCCAGTGGAGGGCACAATCCCCATCTCCTGCGTTCAGTTTCCTGACAGATATCTCAGTCTAACCTCCCTTCTCTTCCCAAGTTTATCAATTATCTCAGGTCTTATCAATTATCTGCACCCAAACAGCCACCTCCTTAGCCTCTGTCTTTAATTCCACTGGTCCCCAACCCCTACCCCTTTCCCTCCTCTAACCCACAGCTAAAGGGGTCTTTGTAAAGAGTAGAATCAATGATGTCACCTCCTAGCTCAAAATCCCTCCATGGTTCCCCTGTGCTTCTGGATAAAGATCAAGGTCATTATCACTACAGATAAGGAACTTCCTGGCATGGCCCCTCCTGTATCTGCCTCTCAGCCTTCTGCCAAGGGAACCTCCACAGCTCCCTCTTGTGTTCATGACAGGATACCCTTTCTCCTTTAGCCTTAGATACCCTTTCTCCCCCAGCTGGGCTGGGGCATTCCTGGCCCAAAGGATCTTACAATACAGTGGAAGGAAGTTGAAGGAAGGTGGGATAAAATGGGAGCAGAGCCTCCCGACCCAGACATGGGTGTCCGGAGGAACTGGGGAAGATGTCCGGACCCCGGTAAGTGGTAAAGGCTAAGCAGGAATTTCCAACTCTGCATTCTCGATGCCTACCACAATCAACAAAAAAGAGGAACCTTTTTTGTTTCACTTAAAATTTTCATGAAGCAAAATGATATGATCTTTAGGCAAATAAACTTGGCTTCTAGCTCCTGAGTAGAAAGCTAACATGTGTATATTTAAATACATGTGTGTTTTACAAGTTATATATATGCATAAAATACTCCTCTCACACTCTAAGTACACTGCAAGGATGCTCACTAGAAGCGTAGAGTCAACTTTCAGCAGGCATCAGCATTACCTACCGGGGATGGTGCCGGGGGTGTGGGCCAGGCTGGGCTGAAGAGCAGGGCTGACTTACCATGGGGGCCACGTCCTGGCTTCACTCATCTGGGCTCTAAGCTGCAGGGAGCTGCCCTTCAGCCTGTGCTCCTAGGCTGATGCCCTGAGGTGTGCATTTAAGGCCATTTACCCTCTTTTCTCCATTGCTGCTAGCGCTTACAATAAAACTATTTAAATAATATTCATAGGCAGCCCCCATCTTCCCTGAACCATGTTTTCTAGTTGATTTGTGAGGCAGCTTCTGGGAACTCAGGAGACAGGAACATATCCCAGCCAACTGTCCTGGTAGCAGACAAGGATCTCCCTGGGAAATCTTCACTAGATGAGACTTTCAGGGTCTCCGTTGGGCTCCAACATACAGGTCAGGGAAGAAGTGAGATGGGGCTCCCACGTGAGCAAGAAGGATGAGGGTCGAGGGAGGTGACCTTTCTCTTGATTCTATTCCCCTCTTGCTAATGTTGTTTCCCTCTTTTGCTTCTCTGGAAAAGTGGGGTAAGAAAGGCAGAGTGAGGGAGAAGGGGAGCAGCTGCTAACTCCTCTTTCCTCTTGGATACCAGCACTGAGGACAGGGAGTGGTACCTGACTAGGGGACACTGTATGACGTTCTCTCCCTGACCTCTTTCCCTCATCTTGTGCGGGGGTCTGTGGGAGCCAAGCTGGGCTGGCGGGGGGAGGAGCAGGGGAAAGTGGTTTTCTCTTGCCCCATAGCCAGCCCAGCTTCCCAGCCCTGGGTCCCCTGTCAGGGAGCATGAGGGGTGGCTCTCTGTGGGAATGCTGAGTTTCCACGGCAGATGCTCCCCAGGGAGGAGGGAAGTCCATGGCCCTAGGGGAATCTTGTAGGAATATTCCCATTCAACAGATGAGGAGAGCCAAGCCTAAGGCCAAGACATTTCTGTGAGGTCACACAGTGGGTAGTGGGCCATGGGCTGGGACGTCCGCCTCAGACCGCAAAGGCTGGAATCTTTCCCTGTGTGCCAGGTCATGACATTGCTTGCTCTGTAATTTATCTAGTCATGGGGCAGGTGCTATCTGTGTATTGTATCTTGCTAGCTCTGTTGCCTAGTGCATGGCCCAGTGTATGACAGGGACTCAAGTACACAGCAATCAACAATCTAGGGCTCTTGTGAGGACATGCCCACCCAGCAGCCAGCACGTGGTGGGAACTCAGTAAGTAGCTGTGATAGGTGTGCCAAAGCAATGGTGTATGAGCTGTGGTTCGCTTCTACCCTCTATACCATCCCCTGAACAGTCCTCACAGACACAGGTACAAACAGCCTTTCTTCCTTCACAGCCTCACCTCTCACCAACCTTAGTGAAGAGAACTTCTCCTGACTTTGGTGTCTGGTGGCAGTTAATGGTTCAGTGTGTGGAGACAAAGGAAGCCCTGGGGAGGGCTAAGGGAGAAGGTACACTCTCCCCCCCCAGCTTGGAGCCCTGCTCCCCACCCCCTCCTCCATGCCCAACAGCTCGGCACCGGCTGGGTTACAGGGGGTTCCTTTTTTCTCCAGCCTCCTTTTCAGGCCCTGGAGCAGTTATGGGTTTGGTCCCTGCCTGAGGCAGGACAAATCAGAAGCTTTACTTAATCACACACTTGCCTCCTGAGATACAGTTTATGTGAAGAACACAAACCTGAAACCTCACTAGAAATGAGAAAATGTGAAGACCACCAAATAGGGGAACTGAAGGATCTCCTCAGGAGAGAAGTGAGTTGTGAGAGAGTCTGCGTTTGCTGGAAGAATTTAAGGGCTTGTGGAAAACCTAGCTGTGGCTCATCCATAAAACGGTTAGCAAGCAAGGCACAAGCAAGGATGGCCGTGGTTGCCTAAAATCAACTCCACGGTCCCTCCAGGGCCTTGTGATTCTAGCCCATTCAGTGCCACCTGGGGAGTGACCTCAATGGTTTGCAACAGCCAACCTCTCTCCCGCAACAACCAGTATCTGCTGCCTCCATAACTCCGCGTGTGCCTGTTTTCATCTAGGGAGCTCACAGAGGTGGCGGCAGGTTCTCTGAAAACCAAAATAACCCAGTGGCCAGCAGGTCTGGAAATAAAGGACTCTCTGTGTTCAAGGGCAGTGGGAGCTGTCACACCCTGGAGGGAGCAGAGCATCCATTGGCTGGAACGGGGAGTCTGCTCACAAACAGGAAAGAGGAACTGTCGTAAGTCTGCCCTCCTCCAGGGTCCACCTTATAGCTGCTTGGGGGTAAAAATGGTTCTACTGTATTCAAGGAAAACGAATCAGCACAGGTAGGAAATTAACCTCTGAGACATGGCAGAAATGACTTGGAAAGAAGGTAAGGCTTTCTTTTTTCCTGTTTTTTGGAAGGTTTTGATTTATCCCTATGTAGGTATTGCAAATAAAAGAGAGAAAGTCCTAAACATGTATGTGTATTCATCATACTATTACGTAATGCATACTCTGAGATTAAAAAACAACAACAACAAAACCAAATTCTAGTTGTTTTTGGTTAAATTATTTGGATTTCAGAGTTCTAGCGAGCTACTTGACCTCCTGCTGGAAGGGCGTCTCTTACCGTCATTACTGTAGATACAAGAGCAAACCCCAGCAAACACTTCATATTTTCCCTTTCTGTGTCCAATTCTATGCTGAGGTCATGGGTATAGTCGTAATACAGCCACCATAAGACACCACAGACAACTAGAAGGCAAAACACCAGGGGAACTCAGCACATGTACGTGGGATAACCGCCTCCCCCAACCCCCAGCACTGGGTGGCCTGGCTCCGGCAGTGGGTCCCACGGGCCTGGGGCTTGATGTGTAACAACCGACCCTCTGAAGGAGCTGGGCAGGGCCAGGGTGGCCTCCCCAAGGACCGCCCAGACCCTCAGTGGCTGCTTGCCCTTGGGAGGCACGGGAAGGTGATGCTAGAACACAGGTGCATCTTGTCAGCCCAGCCTACAGACTGGGCATGGGCGTGAGCAGGGAGGAAAGTGCACGGACAGGACAGTGAGGGGAACAACATTAGAGTCCAAAGTCTAGACCTGCCCAGTGAGCTCCACTGGTGACAACTCCTGTGGGAACTGGGAGGTCAGCTTGGCGGTCACAAGACAGGGTAGACACTCTGATATTGCAACTGCTCTCTGTTTAAACACTACAACGCCACCTACAGCACCACTACAGGAAGGTCATGTTCATCTTTACTTGTCCTAAGTGAGAAAGTGTCCATCACAAGCTGTGGTGCCTGTCCTCCAGCATGGCACGCTGTGCACCTGTGAGCCGTAGGGCTCTAAGTTGCTGAGGGCAGATTAAGGGGAATGAGACTCTATAGTCATATCGATTATTAAAAGTTAAAATGTCCCATGCCAGTTGGTAAATAGCTGCTGCCTTGAACTTCCTGTGTGCCCCTACCTCTCAGACCTCCTTTCCTGATAACTCTTGGATGGACCCACATTCCAGCCACAAAAGGGGAACCAGCAGGTACAGGAGAGGCTCTTTGGGACCTTCCCCAGCTCAGGGCCTGAGTCTTTTTAGACTGGAGCCTTTGCATGACAACTGTGGGGACCCAAGATCAATGGTTGATGTGGAAGTTCAGAAGATATTCTTTAAAAGGCTTCCACAAGACTTGGAGTCGTCTGTTAATGGTATGGTCACCAGGACCACTCTGGATTGGCAGGCCTGACTAAGCAGCAGCCGAGTGCAGCAGAGACAACAGATTGGCATCAAATTTGCTAATATCTGCAACACAAACTACTCCCTTTGTCCTCTCTGGGCCCAAGTTTTCTCATATGTAAAATGACAGGGTTGGATGAGAGACTCTCTGAGCCCCATTTAGCTTAAAAGTGCCAACTTGTAAGTTCTGTACTTAATGGAAAGGCTTTGCATTTAATCAAAAAGAAATCAATCAAGTAGAAATACTTACACAGCAGTCCCGAAATAATCAGTGCAATGAAAATGTGAACCAGAAGGGTGGTGATGAACCAGAAGGTGAACATCATGGCCAAAGACAAGGCTGAAAAATTAAGCAAAATATATAAACCCCAACAGCAACCGAGGTGTGAAGGTAATGATGGCAGGGCTTTAATGACTCCCAGAGGAGGGAGGACTGAGAATTTCCTTCAATCGCTAAATATCTTAAACATCTACTAAAAAAAATAACAAGACATACACAGGGTACTCTCTAAAGCATATATAAGTTCAGTCTGCTACAGTAAGCCAGTTTCTGAAATCCTAGCAATTCTTCTTTTATTAATTTTTTTTTAAATCAGGTCTTATTCCCAAATACCCAAAATGTTTTTTTTAAGTCCAAATAAACCATTATTATTATTATTATTATTATTATTATTATTATTATTATTTACCACACTTAACTCTTTTCACTTCTTATTGGGCTTATATAAAGTTTTAACTTTAAATGTTCTCAGGAATTTTTATTAAATATGAAAAATTAATGCCTTTAGAAATGAAAAATTTAAGGTTCCAATTATATGGTAAGCTGTATATGTAAAAAAAATCCGCATATTGTTTTCCAGTATTTGGGGTTTTAAGCTTATGACCTTATGTTAAGTATTGCAGTGAGTTTATATATAATTTTACATTTTTCCTAAACAAGAGATCAGTATTACTTGGGGCCGCCTGGGTGGCTCAGTAGGTTAAACATCCAACTTTGGCTCAGGTCATGATCTCACAGTTTATGGGTTCGAGCCCCGCGTGGGGCTCTGTGCTGATAGCTCAGAGCCTGGAGGCTGCTTAGGATTCTGTGTCTCCCTCTCTCTCCCTCTGCCCCTTCCCCACTCATGCTCTGTCTCTCTCAAAAATAAACATTAAAAAAAAAAAGAAATCAGCGTTACTTACAGACACTTTGGTGTAGTGGTTAAGAATGTGGATTTGTGGATCAGATACATCTGGGTTGGGTCTCAGCTCTGCCACCTACTCTACTCACTGCCTGACTTTGGCCAAGTCACTTAACCTCTCTATGCCTCAGTTTCCCTTCCTTCAAATGGTGACAGGATTCTGACAAGGCTTTAATGAGTAAAGTAAAGTAAGCACAATGCCTGGCACATCTGGGTCCTAAGAAGTCCAGAAGTTACATAATGGTGATGAGTTAAGTATTCCCAAGTATTTAGGAATTAGTAACATTTTGGTAAGGAAATTAGGGAAAATCTGATGAGTAAACTGGCAAAATCATTGCTGATCAAAGAATTCCTTTCAACAAAAAGGTTGGGAAGCGGCCACTGGAGAAGGGGTAGATAGCAGGCCACTACGACTGCCCACACAGCAGAATGTATCAACTTGTTCAAAGAGAAAGTCAACTCTTAAAGGGGCTCATCAAGTTGAAATGGGAAGTTAAAGGGTCAAGAGTGGGTAGCTGCTTCCAGAAATGCCCAGAAGAGGCATGTCACAGCTCAAGGCCTTGACCTGCCTATAACCCAAAGCAGGCGGTTGGCTACCTCAGGCCATTGCCTTCTGATGCTATTCAACACAGATACACACGCCTCCTTCTCTTGCTCCCATGCGGCCTTCTAATCTGGCTTGCCTATGGGGAGAGGGCATTCTGGCCAGAAGACATGGCTTTCTGGTCCCCCTGACAGTTGTACTTTTCGTGGCCAGTTAGCAAATTGGCAATATGCTTTACACATCCATCCTTATGCAGAGCTGAGGACCAGGTACCGGAACATGGCCACTATGTTAAGACAACCCACACTCGGTGAGGCCTCTTGGCAGAGAGCCAGCTGGTGTCTCCCTAATTTTATTGTCCCCTCTCCCACTTGAACCTGAAACACTGAAAATCTGTATAAAGAAAACATGTGAACTTTTATCTTTAAGAGGCTAATTCTCATCGTACAACATACACAAGTGCTAGAAACTTTGGCAGAGTCACTGAAAGAAAAGCAATTTAAAGTTACCTAATGCGAGGATACACAGACCAAGGATTGTGTCTCTTCCTGACATTATTCCACTTAGAATTTGATGGAGGGTGTCAACATCATTTATCAAAACAGATGCAAACAAGGAATAGCACTCCGGTGTTTGAGGGACGCATCTGTTAAACAAGGGGAAAGACTTGCTAAAAAGAAAAGAAGAAACGGCAAAGATATTTAATTAGTTAACTTAAAAAAATGCTTATTTAAAAATTTCAACAACCAAGAAAGCATAAGATCTGCAGTAATAAAAAGAAGTTTAGCATCCTGTTTGCAGAACACACCTTGGAAAGCCAGGCAAGGGGCACCTGGGTGGCTCAGATGGTTAAGTGTCCGATTCTGGATTTCAACTCAGGGCATGATCTCAGGGTTCATACAATTGAGCCCCCCATCAGGCTCTGCACTGACAGCATGGAGCCTGCTTAGAATTCTATCTTCCCCTCCCCTGCTGGCTTTCTCTCTCTCCCTCAAAATAAATAAAGAAACATAGAAACATAGAAACATGAAAGAAAGAAAGAAAGAAAGAAAGAAAGAAAGAAAGAAAGAAAAAAAGAAAAAAGAAAAGAAAAATGAAAAGAAAGCAAGCTCTTTCTGTACGCTCTGCTACAGTAATTAGCTGATGCTCTGGGTGGGGAATGATGATGGGGACCCAGAGAAACTGGAACGCTACACTTGGAGAGTGACATTTCTGATTCTCCTGTCTTGGCCCTTTTTGGATACAAACTACCAACTCCAACACAAGAATGGCATTTAAGGAACTGGTAGAGATAAGAGCTGGTTTAACTGGAAGTTGGGTCAATGAAACTACCATTCGGTCCTCTTTGAGAAGGTAGGTGCATAAGGCTTGAGAGGCTTGCTACGAACAGAGTGGATAGCGAGCGATGAATATATGAATAAAGCTGTGGTTGGTAACTGCCTTGGGTAGATGAAAAAGCTGATCTTTTTGGGGTCCCTTCCTGAAACGTAAAAATGCTCAGGGATATCCATTCTAATGACTTAAAAATTTTTTTAATGTTTATTTATTTTTGAGAGATAGAGATAGAGACAGAGAGAGAGAGAGAGAGAGAGAGAGAGAGAGAGAGAAAGCAGGGGAGGGGCAGACAGAGAGGGAGACAAAGAATCCGAAGCAGGCTCCAGGCTCCAAACTGTCAGCACAGAGTCCGACACCAGGCTTGAAGTCATGAACCAAGAGATCATAACCTGACCTGAAGTTGGACACTTACCGGACTGAGCCACCCAACAGTGGAAATAATCCCAACCCAAGAAGCATCAAATTATCAGACACATTGCTAAAAACCAAGCATTTTTTTGAAATGTGTGAAGATGAAACAAGGGAGAACCCAAATGCAAACAATATTGTATTATCATGAAGAAAAAATGGCTTCTGAACTTTAAATGAACGCAACATAGAACATAGAAGAATCTCTCTCAGGAAGTCATAACATTACAGGAATAGTTCCTGACTCCCTGAATAGTGATTCAAGAGAAGAGTAAAACAACTAAGCAGTTTTTCCCTAGTTAAAAAATTTGAAGGTGTAATACAGTCACATGGCTCAAGTTCCAGAAGGTACAATAGAACGAATAAATTGTGAGAAATGGCTGTCTCTTCTCTTTAAGGAAAATTATTTCTTCACAGACAACTGTTGTTTTGCTTTATCTAGTGTATCATCCTAATTCTTTTCTCTCTCTCTTTTTTAAAGTAAACTGTACGCCCAATGTGGGGCTCAAACTCAAAACCCCGAGATCAAGAGCTGCATGCTCTGCTGGCAGAGCCAGCCAGGTGTCCCCCTCTATAAATTGTTCTAGAGACTTTTAAAAACATATGTGAGTATAACAGGAAATTTAAATGGAAGTCTATAGCTGAAGCTCAAAGATAATAAAAATTATACTCCAAAATGAGATGTCAGACCCCACCATTCTGGGCTTGCCAAAAACACTGTTTAGAAAACTAGGTGGCTTGTCCTTACCACCCCTATGTTCCACAGAAAGTATAAAAGGGTTGGGAGTTGGAGATTAGAAGAATGTTCTAGAAAATAAACTTATAATTTTGGAATAATTTTTGAGTTACAGAAAACTTGCAAAGATGCTACAGAGAGTTCCTGTGTATACCTCACCCAACTTCCCCTAACATCTTACATAACCACAGTACATTTGTGAAAATTCAGAAATTAGCATTGGTACTATACTATTAACTAAACTACAGTCTTTATTTGGATTTTACCATTTTCCACTAATGTCCTTTATTTTCTCTTCCAGGATCCAATCCAGGATGCCCCGTTGCATTTAGTTGTCATGTCTCCATCGGTCTATGACAGTTTCTTAGTCCTTCTTTGTTTCCCATGACCTTGACACTTTTGAAGATTCATGGTCAGGTATTTGGTAAATTGTCCCTCACACTGTACAATGTCCCTCATGTTTTCTCATAATTAGACTGCTGTTTTTGGGTTTGGGGGAAGAACACCATGGAGGTGAACTGCACTTTCCATAGAACCACACTGGGGAACATGAAGAACAACATGACATCACTGATGAAGTTAACCTTGATTACGTGGTTAAAGAGGCTGGTATCTGCTAGGTTTCTCCATTGGCATGTTACTATTCTATATTCTACAGAATATATTCTATATTCTTTGGGAGTGAGTCACTAAGCCCAGCCCACTCTCAAGGGGAGGGAAGTTAAGCAGGACATATCTACAAATATTATTCGGGATTCTTTTGTAAAGATTTATTCCTTTGTGCACTCCTCCCATTTATTCAATCATTTATCAGTGGACTCATGGATATTTACTTTGCTCTTGAGGTTATAATCTAGTATGATCATTATTTATTCTGTTGCTCAAATCATTGCAGCTTTGGCCACTAGGAGGTCTTTCATGTTGGCCCTGGGTAATTTTGACACACCCTACCTTTTTTTGTTTCCTGGAGAACATTTTCACTTTCTGGCTCTGTAAGATTATGCCAAACTATTTTCCTTATCTAAGCTCTAAAATCAGTCAATACCTTGGAAAATGGTATTTAGAAACCAATATCTGGGTAGTAGGTATGCTCATTGCTACTGGGGTGTCACTGATCCTGGGCCCTCTTATAATCAATCCTCATATGTATTGTCAGAATTGCTAACTAGTACTCCTGTGACAAACAAACTTGCCAACTAGAGCATGGTGCTTATGTACAGTTATTTTTGTCTTCAGCTCACAGTATTTAGTCACAAAGCTGTTTTCCAAAGTACTTAGGTCAGGTCCTTTTCTCTCTTTCCCCTTCAGTGAGGTTATGTCATATATTCGTATTAAGTTAAATTCATATGTCATGGTCTACATTCTACCCCGAGAACTCTTGATATTTTGGTTGATTTTATTTTTTATTTGGATACAGTAAAGTTGACTCTCTACAGGCATTGGTAAGTACACTGAATCATGTAAAAGAGAAATTCTAAAGACTTTTTGTTTTTTGAAAGAGAGAATTTTCACATGAATCCATCCATGCCCCCCTCCTCCCCCAAGGGAAAGAAGGTGAGAGATACCACTCCCAAGTCAGATGAGAAGGGTTTCCTGGAAAACTCAGAGGGCTCAGATGACACCATGGGTTAAGGTCTGAGCCCTGGGAAGTGAAGGCTAGTGTCCTTGGTGTCCAAGACAGCTACATAGAAAATTGTGGGGCCCTCAGCAGAAAGAAGCTGGAAGTGGCTGCTTAATGTCACAGGACGAAGGAAGACTTAGCAAATAACCAGCCAGAGCAGAGATGTATTTGACCATGTAAAGAGCACTGCAGCTGAGAGAGCCCCAGGGACAGGAAATCTCCAAAGAATCCAAAAAGTCTCTATGGAAGAAAGCTGGCTGGAACATCTCCCAAACCCAGAAAACTGGTACTTGTATCAGTCAAATAAGAACACCCCTATTTCCTCTTAATCCTCCTCACTTTTGCTGTGCCAGGCCCGAGAGTCAGAAGCCTGTCTCAGTGGACTGGCAGAGAAAGAGATGAGGAGGAGAAGAGAATGGAGCAGAGGACTGCAGCCCCCTTCCCTAGCCAAAGCCTTCCCATCTGCTCCTGGCCCACGCTGGGGGAGGGAGAAGTTTCAACTGTCAGTCAAGTCTAAAGTCTATCATATTGGACTGAACATTTTAATTACTGGATGGAAAGTATCTATTACAACTTAAAGTGACTGAGTAATTATTGCTTAAAAGTAACCAAAGTAGTCTTGGGAACTGTGTTTTCATTCAGGGACAGAGAAAAACTAGTCCCACTGAATAAATTTAAAGAGACAGAAAGTAGGAGCAAGAAAAATTAAGAATCATTCACAATTCCACCAAACAAAAGTAAAATGCCAAGAAATTAACTTAATCAAGGAGGTGAAAGACCTAATCTCTGGAAAGTATAAAACACTGATGAAAGAAATTGAAGACAACACAAATGGAAAGATACTCCATGCTCATGGGTTGGAAGAATTGATACTGTTAAAATGTCCATACTACCCAAAGCAATCTACAGATTCAGCACAATCCCTATCAAAATACCAAAAGCATTTTTTTCACAGAACTGAAACAAATAATCCTAAAGTTTGCATGGAACCACAAAAGACCTTGAATATCCAAAGCTATCTTGAGAGAGAAGAACAAAGCTAGAGGTATCATAATCCTAGATTTCAAGATATACTACAAAGCTATAGTAATCCAAACAGTATGGTTCTGGCACAAAAACAGACCCATAGATCAATAGAACAGAGTAGAGAGCCAAGAAATAAACCTACATTTTTATGGTTAATCAATCTAGAACAAAGGAGGGAAGAATATGCAGCAGGGAAAAGATGGTCTCTTCAATAAATGGTGCTGGGAAAACTGAACAGCCATATGCAAAAGAATTAAACCGGACCACTTTCTAACACCACAAACAAAACTAAACTCAAAATGGATTAAAGATCTAAATCTAGACCTGAAACCATAAAACTATTAAAAAAAAAAAAAAAACATAGGCAGTAATTTCTTTGACATTGGCCTTAGCAACATTTTTCTAGATATGTCTTCTCAAGGAAGGGAAACAAAAGCAAACATCAACTATTGGAACTACCTCAAAATAAAAAGCTTTTGTATAGTGAAGGAAACCATCAACAAAACAAAAAAGCAACCTACTAGCCCTAGCCCTAATCCTTACT